AAGAGTCAGTGGTGATAAAACTCACAAAAAAAGAATTTTAGAAGTGGAGGAAGGATTGCATTAGCAGACAGCCACAAAAGAAAAAGGTGCCAAATAGGTTTCTCTCATCACTGAGTTGGGAACCAGAAGATTTTTTTTTTTAAGTCAGTAATTGCAATTGGGACATGTTTTCTTTTCCTTTAGTTAAATAAAGGGAGTGGGATGTTAAATAAAAAGGTTTGGCTGGCTGAGAACCACATCAGAGAGAAAAATATCTATAATACAAAATGTCAGAGGTTCTTTTTTAAATGCTTGTTTATTTTTGAGAGAGACAGAGGCAGAGTGTGAGTAGGTAGGGACAGAGAGAAAGGGAGACACAGAATCCGAAGCAGGCTCCAGGCTCCGAGCTGTCAGCACAGAGGCTGACACAGGGCTCGAACCAACGAACCACGAGGTCATGACCTGAGCCGAAGTCTGATGCTTAACCGACTGAGCCACCCAGCGCCCCTAAAATGTCAAGAGGTTCTGAGGACCAAAATGGGACAATTGTCCCACGTATCCACATAGCTCTTCTCTTGTAGAAGGCCAAAGTAACTTCTCAGGGCTTCTAGAGAAAATAATCTGGCATTGTAGCCCTCTTTCTCATCTTTCTCCCTCTCCTTCAGGCTTGAAATCTGAGATTTCCAACTTGTAACTAGATTACAGCAACGACCGACCTCCTGAATGTCTGTGCTGCTGTAAAAGGGGTGGACGCCTTTCTGCTGATGCCTCAGACTTGAAAGCTTCTCTTTTATAAAACGCTTCCAAGAGAATGCACTGTTGTTCTAATGTTTAATTACCAATACAGCGTAATTGTTTGAAAGGGACTTGTTTGTGGCTTCGAACCTGTATCCGTCATTGGAGTAAAGAACTCCAGTGCCTTTTATCCAAATGTATAACCTTGCAGAGGTATTGTCCTTGTTGTTTGGACACAGGAGTAGCAAGAGCCATAGTTTAGGTAGAATAAGAAGGCTTTCCATTTAAATTTAGTATGTTCGACATCACCGTTTTGCAAATAGAATTAATGTTAGCTATAACTGGGGTGACTATTCTGGTTTGCAGCGGCCTGAGCAGGCTCCCAGAATGTAGGACTTTCAGTCAATTTGGGGCAAACCAGGGGAAGTTGGTCACCCTATTAATGCTAAGTGACATGCTTAATTCTCTCAAAAAGCCTCACAGAGTATCAGGCATTATCTCCCCATTTTTCAGGTAAGGGAACTGAGGCTCAGAGGTTAAAGCAACATGTCTTGTGAAACTAACTGGTGACAAAGCCTTGCCCTAAGTCCAGGTCTGTCTGGCCCCAAAGCTTGTGCTCTGAACACCACCGCTAGGGCAGGCTTCTCTGGATATACAGATTTAGGAAGTTGCAAAAAGCAGGGGCACCTGGATGGCTCAGTCGGTTGAGCAGCCAACTTGGGCTTGGGACATGATCTCACAGTTTGTGGGTCCGAGCCCTGTGTCGGGGCTTGCTGCTATCAGCACAGAGCCCGTTATTGCAGATCCCACTTTGGATCCTCTGTCCCTTTCTCTCTCTCTGCCCCTCCCCTGCTCATGCTCTGTCTCTGTTTCTCAATAGTAAATAAACATTAAAAAAATTTAAAAAGTCATACATAGTCTGTGGCTGTTCTGGGAATGACTATTTTGTAGCCTTGGACTCTCTACTTAACCAGGCTAGGAAATTAAGAATCATCCAGCTATTAAATTTTTGCTTATATTTTTAAGCTTAGAGAAGCAGACTGAAATACAGAGCAGAGCATTTTCTGGGTATAATCTTTAATAACCTTTTGTGAAATCTTGCCAGTAAATCTAGAGGAAAGTAGTTGTACCGTTTGGAAAGTTTACATTTCCGTTCTGGAAAGCTCTCTGACTGCCCACCAGTTTGAGAGGAATGCTGCCGTCACCTTGGCTCCTTTGAAATACAGCCTGTGTGTCTCTATTCCATGCCCCAGTCCTCAAAGCTTGTGTGCAAATGCACCCCAAATGGAAATCAGATGGAATCAGCCTCAGGATTGCCACACTTTTCTTTAGGAGAAACCAAATTGGGGGTGGGACTTTATGGGTTCTCTGCTTTTAGTGAGAAATAAACCCATCAAAGTCATTGCTAGCCCTGGTGCCAGTTCAGGCTTTGGAAGAGCTGAGTTGTAAGACTGATTCCTTAAACAGCATTGACTTCGGGTCGTTAAAGCAAGGGGACATTGACAAATGCAGTGTGTTCATTCATTCATTCACCCACTAATTCAGCCAAACCTAAATTGAGAACCTGTTCCGTCTCAGAGGGTAATAGGCACTGGGAACATGAAGAGGAAAACAGTAAAATCCTAGCTCATGAAATCAATGGGTAAGACTCAAATTGCATATGGTCAATATTATCCCTTAAATACCTCTCAAATCACCCATAAAGTATTCTTAGGTCAAGTTCCCTAGAAGCAGAACCTACGATGAGGATTCTTATGCAAGCAATTGATTGAAAGAGTACTCTCAGGGTGCCTGAGTGGCTCGGTCGGTTAAGCGTCCCAATTCTTGATTTCAGCTCAGGTCATGATCTCACGTTTCACGAGATTGAGCCCATGTCAGGCTCTGCACTGACAGCACAGAGCCTACTTGGGATTCTCTCTCCCTCTCTGTCTACGCCCCCCCCCCACCTCTCTCAAAATAAATAAACATCAAGAAAAAAAAAAGAGTACTGTCAGGTGAAGCCCATATGGTAATAAGGGAAGCAGGATGGGGCAGGGGACCCAGTTCAGCAAATATGTGAGCTCTGCTGACTCCCTCAGGGAGCCTGGTCCCACAGGGGACTCTGGAGCATGAAGACATCACAGATTTATATCCCCTTGAGGCAACATGGCCAGCCTTTTATATTCCCAACCATCAGACAAGGGCTTTAGGCTGTCTCCAGGAATTAGTGTGTGACCTCTGTGGCATTTCTGAGCAAGGTGGCTCTGATCAGATGAGATGTCATCTGATCAGACAATTCTTAAAATCTGGGTGCTGCTGTGGGCAGTTAGACAAAACTCACAGCATCTGGGGGTATGGATGCACCAGGCATGTAAAGAGAATCTGGAGGGGGCATCTCCAGCAGCTACCACACAGGATGTATGTGACATGGTACAAACCACCTATCATTTGTTAGTAAATTAACCAGGCCAATTTATTTTTCTCCAGTGGTGCACTAGTTCACCATTTCTTTGGACGCCCTACAGCTGAAGTAGTTGGCTTGTATTCGGGGGCCATATTGTATTAAAAACACGCATCTGTCTGCATCCACGCCCAGCGGGGAGACTCTCACGCCCTGGGAGATGCTTCCTCAGATCTGAGGCTGACTGTGTTTTCCAGGAAGCAGATGCTGCGATGTCATTATACAGGATGCTCATTGGGAAGTGCCCTGTCAACCCCTGTGGAGGGGAGGGCCAGAAGCAGGAGTGGGCAGAGGAGAAGGTGAGCCAGAGGCAGGCCTAGCAGTAGCCGCAGCCAAGCCCGCCCCACAGGGAGCTCTGGAGCTAAGTGGCTGCTCAGAGCCGGCCTGCTTTGTACCAAAATGGCCAGGCCTTCATACCCTGCATTGGGCCACCCTGGCAAAGGCATGACCCAGGGTGAGGGGGCTTTCTGCAGCTGAGACACCCCAAGGGGACGGCTGGAAGTGATTCACTGACTGCACTCCCAGCTGCTAGGCAGCAGGGCTCCCTGGACTGGGATTGGGCAGCACATATCTCTGTCTACTACGGAGACGACTCAACAGGACCCCTCTCGCGCTCACTGCAAGCATACAGTTGAGCGGAATGGACACAAAATCACTCCCCACTAAGTTAAAGTTTACTCTTGAGGTGGGGCACATAGGGTACAAGAGCCTACAGTTTAGTCAATGTTTTAGTATTTATTTTTTTCAACGTTTATTTATTTTTGGGACAGAGAGAGACAGAGCATGAACGGGGGAGGGGCAGAGAGAGAGGGAGACACAGAATCGGAAACAGGCTCCAGGCTCCGAGCCATCAGCCCAGAGCCTGACGCGGGGCTTGAACTCACGGACCGCGAGATCGTGACCTGGCTGAAGTCAGACGCTTAACCGACTGCGCCACCCAGGCACCCCAATGTTTTAGTATTTAATATGAATTCTGGACTTTGATCATTTTATCTTCACTTAGAAGCAAATAATTTATCTTCCTTTTTACTTATACTTACCGAATCTTTTTTGTGTGTGTGTCAGTTTTATTTAGCAATAGGCATTATATTGAGAACCTTAATTCATGACCTTATTTAATCCTTACAATAATCTTGTGAGGTAGGTCCTGTTGTTATCCCCCATTTTACAGGTGAGAAAACTGAGGGTTAGGTTAGACAAAACTTGCTCAGGGGCGCCTGGGTGGCTCAGTTGGTTAAGCATCTGACTCTTGGTTTCGGCTCAGGTCATGATCTCACGACTCTGTGGGTTTGAGCCCCACATCAGGCTCTATGCCGACAGTGCGGAACCTGCTTGGGATTCTCTCTCCCTCCCTCTCTCTCTGCCCCTTCCCCACTTGTGCTATCTCTCTCAAACGTAAATAAATAAACTTAAAAAAAAAAGAGAGAGAGAGAGAAAAGAAAGATTCTATGATGAAAAGGAAATATTTAAAAAAGAAAAAACTTGCACATCGTGAAATTATCTAGTCGGTCTTTAACTACAAGCCCGTCTGGCTCCAAAACTCAGCTCCTTAACTGCTTTACTAAAGCCGGCTATGAAACCTTTCACACTACCCCTTGATGGACCTTCGCTAATTAATGCATTCATTCAACAGTGTTTTACTGAGCATGCCTGATGCCAGGCTCTGTGCTAGGTCAACATGAGAGTTTCAACAGAGAAAGCTTTGAAAAGGAGGACATGTGCATGTGTTCCTGTGGGTCGTTCTTCTTGCCTGTGTGTGCGCGCGTGTGTGTAGCAATCTCAGGAGATTAATGCAAACCGGGATGTGTCCTACTAACTCAGTTCATGATGTTAACCTTTCTAACAGGCTAAAAGAGACGCTAAGCGAATGTCTGCAAAAGAAGTCACCATTAATGTTACAGACAGTATCCGACAGGCGGACAGAAGTCGAAGAATCTCGAAGAACTGTGTTAACTAGCAGGAGCGTTCGGATGGCAGTGCCGGTGGACAACTCTGGTGCCCTCCACCTACTGGAGCCCATCAAGGAGCCTTGAAGAAGCGGGTGGCCCCTGCTGAGTGCCCTGAGGGACCGTCTTACCAGGCAGCGAGCGGCTGCCTGGGCTGCAGGGACGTTCTCGCGCCCTCCTCACCACAGAGCTGTACTGACACAGTGCTTGCATATGGTGATACGCTGCAGTGACCGTGCCTGTCTGCAGCCCCTGCGATGCGGTCTGACGTGGCCGTGGTGAGCGAGAGCCACGGGCGGGTTTGTGACACGGAGAAAAGTGGACGGAGTGCGTTTCCTGGGAGAACGACGCGCACGTGGGCTCTCAGCCCCGCCGGCCGTGGCGGTGTGTGCTCTTGCGGGTCCGCCTGTTCCTTCGTTCTGTCTTTCCGAAGGAAGCCCACCGTCGGAAAGCTTACCGTGTTCACTTAACAGTCGTCTTCCGCCCACCTGTAAACCCAGATGTAGGAGAGACCGAGAAACAGGGAAAACCCCTGTGACACCCGTCTCCTGAGCTCAGTCCGAGACAGATTCAGAGATCCAGTGTCACACAAACTAACCCCGCCCGCGCTCACAGCATGTTTGGGGAGGTCTCTGTGATGCAGTCACACCTGTCTCTCATCTGCCTTCAGTGTCCCCCCCCCCCCCATACAGGTGTCCGTGTCTGCCCACGTACCGCAATATCGTGGTCACCGTGGTCAACACATCCCACCGGGATGGCCCTCAGGGCTCAGCCAGACATTGCATTTCAGAGCATCCCACTTCTCTTCGCTTGTGCTCTTTGAGTGTCTGTTCTCTCCAGTTGGGTCAGTTGGGTCATTCGCAGTTGTCAACCAAAGCGTAGACACTGCTCGCAAGAGGCAGATAATCCAGAACATACTGGCAGCACATAGCCTCTCGTACACAGCACCAGGCCTACGGCTATGTCGTGTGCTGTCTGTGAAGGAATCGCTTTATTTTTTTTTTATTTTTTTTTAACGTTTATTTATTTTTGAGACAGAGAGCATGAACGGGGGAGGGGCAGAGAGAGAGGGAGACAGAACCAGAAGCAGGCTCCAGGCTCTGAGCCATCAGCCCAGAGCCCGACGCGGGGCTCGAACCCACAGACCGCGAGATCGTGACCTGAGTTGAAGTCGGATGCTTAACCGACTGAGCCACCCAGGCGCCCAAAGGAATCGCTTTAGAAAGGCAGTGCCGAGTTGATGTGCCATCACATTGACCGACATGCACTGTGTTAGAAATCAGAGGCAGTAAAAAAAATATTTTGATAGATTAAAATTATCTAACATTCCTTTACACGTGTTAAGGTGGAAGCATCTTCCTCCAAAGTAATGTAGCATAATTTTAAACGATTGTTAACATGCCTGGACTGGGAAAGGTAGGACTAAAGTTGTACCAAATGATACCAATAAACTCCATGTTTAGCAGAAATGGGCAGCCTGATGGTGTGTGTTTATGTAATACGGTCCAGAGAAGTGACATGTAGGTTAACATTTAGAAACTTGGCCTCATTACTTGTTAATTTTGTTATTCCTCAAACACAAGCACGGCCTCCCTCCCTTCCTCCCTTCCTCCCTCCCTCCCTCCCTCCCTTTGGTAGACTGTATATTCATTAAACATTGAATACCAGCCCTGCATCAGGCACCTTGCAGATGCTAAGAGATTTTGAGTCTGGCCAGTCACCCTTGTATATTCTGAATCTGACAGTGGACTTCATAACTAGGGGACTAACTTAGACCCTAAAGTGTAGGGTATGTTGTGAATTCTCACTTTTACATTCAGGGTAGCTTTCTCTCCTAGACCGGATCTGGGTGTTCTCCTAGTCACTGCACAAGCCTTTTTACCATACACAAAGCTACAGTTTTCCCAAACCTCTATCATTTTGATTCTTTGAGAAAGGGCTTTTAAAGAACTTCATGTTCTGAAAATTAAATAATAATACAATACAAGCAAGATCTGTGGCTCCGATGTCCCCACTGGCATTACTCAGCAGGAGCCCCCAACTGCCAAAGGTTGACAACAATCCTGCAAGTTCAAGGGCTCGTTCTCCTAGGCACATGTGTCGTGTCTCTGTGTGGGGTGTTCCTTCCCCAGCATGCCCCTGTCCGTGGGTCGCGGACTACACCAGTTTCCCTCTACAGCCTCGTTTGTGCTTCATGTAACTGTTGCACCTTGCGGTGGAATGCATTAACTGGAGAGGGTATCTCTGTTTTATATAGAAACAATGTCTCACTTCTGGGGGAGAAAGGAATGAGGGGCATATATGATCTGCGCCTCCCTGGCACAATCTGGATTTCACAAAAAGGTAGTGATCAGAAGTTAAACCGTGTTACTGGAAATTCACCTGCAGTTTTTTCCTGTGTGTATGATACAAGAACTGATTCTCACTATTCTCTTAACATAACACTTTCTATTGCAAAGTTTGTGTCAATAAAGTCATCAATTTCAAACATATAGACGATACAGAGAGTCTTTACTGGAACCTTCAATTTATATTTAGAGCTATTTAGATTTTTTCTTCTTTGATACAAAGGCTATATATATATATATATATATATATATATATGATCTCTGTGAACCCTTCATAAAGCTTTATGAAGTAGGTAAGGAGAACTCTATTCTCCAGTTTACAGTTCTTAAAGTATTTATAGTCACTTAACTAGTAAGCCATGCAGAAAGGATTCAAGGGAGGGAAGTCTGCCTGCAAACCCAGTGGTTTTTCCAACACGTGGGGTGGTGTCTTTCCTGCCAACAAGGTCTGACGTGCCTGGGACACCGAGCTATTCTGAGGGGAATCATCACTGAGCCTGAGAGGAAGTGAAGCCCCAGTCTGAGAGGGTAGCAGCAGTGACCGAAGAGGGCTGGAGAGGGCTTGGGGAATTCGGATCTAACTCGGGCTTCCTTATCCCTCCAGAGAGGGTGACCCTGACCTAGTGTGAGAGAGCACTTTCAGTGAAGGTCAGAAAGAAGAGAGACCTCACGATCGAGAGGAGATTGGAATTGCAGCCATCAGAAGAGCTAAGACCTCAAGGTGAGAGAAGCCACGGCAGCCAAGGACCTCCCCGATCTGCCCAGGCCCCACGCACTCCTTGGGAGCACAGGCCAAGGACCGTATCTCCTCACCCTTTCCCGCTGCCACCTCCACAGTGTCCCCCCTCCCCCCAGGTCACCTGAACACACTCCTGTCTGGATTCCCTGTCCAAGCCCTGTTTATGACCCTCACCACCCCCACTCACCGACTAGCCCAGCCTGCCACAGAAATGTATCGCATCCGTATTTGCTCCCCTAAGCAGGGTTCACAAAACCACCGGGGTTCACAAAACCTCTCTGCTGAACCAAATGGCAGACATGCTTCATTTGTCTGTCACGGTGTTAAAACCCGAGGATTTCACAGAAAAGACCAGCTCTGGCGGAGACTTGTCATTGAGAACTCCAATATCCATTCTCCCCTTCTTTCTTAGCTGGCCACATGTCCACTCAGAAGAAAGATTATACTTTCCGGCCTCCTTTGCAGCGAGGAGTAGCTGTATGATTTAGTTCTGGCCAATGAAATGAAATAATAGGCCACGAAGCTTCCGGGGAATCTTATAAAAGAATGGTCAGGTTCTTTCTTTTCTCCTTTTCCTTCCTGCTCCCTGGAATGAGGAGTAATGGCTGGAGCCACAGCAGTCCACTGGGTCATGAGGGAACCTTGGAAATGGAAACCATGCTGAGCGGGGCAGTAAATTAGAAGTTTAGGTCCCTCATTCCACTGAGCCTCCGTGAGTCCAGGACTACACGTCCCAGACCTCTTTTGTGTGAGAGAGAAATACACGTCTACCTCACTTAGGCTACTCTTTCAGGTCAGTACTCCCAGCCGAACCCAATTCTAGCTGATACAGAAACTTTCCATCTTCTTTTGAAAGCTCGGGAGATGTGACGCCCCTGGGCTCTTGTTGCCACTCAGACACAGTTGGCTGGAGCTGATAAGGCCACATTAGTCGAAGTTATGGGGGTCTCTAGATGGTCATGGCCCCCGCCACTCATTGTGGCTTACACACAGCTTACAGCCTCCAGATTGGTGGTACCTGCCTGAGCCCTTTGGCATTTGCAACCCCTGCGCCAGATTGTGTTCTCATGTTCCTTTCAGGAGTCGTCAAAATACAGAAGGTCCTTTTCCCCATCCCACCAGTCTGGGAAGCCAGTCTCATGAGAACTTTCTGAGGAGGCAAGTTACAAATGTGACTTCATATTTAAAGTTGTGTATTCACTCAACTTTCGTTTCCTTCCTATGTATTTATCAAGAAGCTTCGAGATGTCAGCAGTTGTGGTACAGTGAGGAATAAGGCAGACCTGGCCCCTGCCCGATGGAGCTGACATTCTAGTAAAGGAAACAGACAGTAAAAACAAACTAAAAGAAATAAATTATCGCAATAATTGAAGATGGTGATGACTGCTACGAGAACATTAACGGGAGAATGGACTGGAAGGAGGCCAGAATGCAAGCAGGAGACCACTTAAGAGATTCCTGCAGTGGCCCTGGTGGGGAGACGTTAGTGGCAAGGAATAGGGGAGTGATTGTGAAGATGGACAGAAGTTTCTATTTTGGAAATGGAAACATGAAGATTTACTGATGGAATGGGTGTAGGAAATGAGAAGAGAGAAATCAGGATGATTCTTAAGTTTCTGGTTTGTTCAACATGGTTCTTGGGTAAGACAGGGTATGATAGGGTGAGAGAAATGTTACTGTTTGCCCCACCCGGGCTCTCTTTCCCAGTTTCTCATGCAGTGAGCTCCTAAACTATTTCAGCAGTATTTATGTCTCCTTAAATCACTTCAGATTGTGAGGCACCTGAGTGGCTCAGTCAGTTAAGCGTCCAACCCTTGGTTTCGGCTCAGGTCATGATCTCAAACTTTCTTGAGTTTGAGCCCCACATCGGGCTCCATGCTGACAGAGCAGAGCCTGCTTGTGATTCTCTGTCTCTCTCTCTGCCCCTCCTCTACTCACACTGTCTCTGTCTCTCTCAAAATAAAGAAGCAAATAAACTTAAACAAAAATTTCTTTAGATTGTTCTCCCAAACCATCCCCCATGGAAGACCGTAAAAACCAATATCAGAAGGAATGTATCCTTAATTCTCTAGGAAAAGGGAACTGTCAGAAGACCCAGACATGAGCAGGAAATGGATCACCCAGATTTTTTTTTTTAATGTTTATTTACTTTTGAGAGATGAGAGAAACCAAGCACAAGCAGGGAAGGGGCAGAGAGAGAGGGAGACACAGAATCTGAAACAGGCTCCAGACTCTGAGCTGTCAGCACAGAGCCCGACGTGGGGCTCGAACACACGAACCGCGAGATCATGACCTGAGCCGAAGTCAGTTGCTCAACCGACAGAGCCACCCAGGCGCCCCATCACCCAGATTTTTTAACCCAGCAGAGAGCTATGTCTGGGCACTTCCTGCCAGGCTGAGCTTGGCAGTTTTAGTTTCTTAGCCAGGACTTTTCCAGGTAGAACTCCATTTTATTTAAAAAAAAAAATTTTTTTTTTTTTGGTAACATTTATTAATTTTTGAGAGACAGAGACAGAGCACAAGCAGGGGTGGGGCAGAGAGAGAGGGAGACACAGAATCCAAAGCAGGCTCCAGGCTCTGTGTGCTGTCAGCACAGATCCCAACGCGGGGCTGGAACTCATAGACTGTGAGATCGTGACCTGGGCCAAAGTCAGAGACTTGACCGACTGAGCCACGGAGGTGCCCCAAGAACTCCACTTTAAAAGAAAAAAAAAAAATGGATGCATAACATTGCCCCTTCTGCTCCGAATAACCTTTTTCGTCACTTTGCCGTGTGCCGGGGAAATAGCCCCAAATTTTTGTTTGCCTTTTTATTTTACTCCATTATCCACAGACGATGTCCTTCTGTTCTAATAGATAAACCAGCCATGGGATGGCCTCTGAATCAAGGGGTGGCAGCCAGACAGCCAGGAAAAACAGAGAACCCGGGCCTCCGGTGCAGGAGAC